GCACCACAAAACATCAAACATCATCATCAACGATGCCGTCCAAAAGAGCGTAGTGAGGTATTGTGGGAAGACCACCATGAGGTGACATTTCCGGAATGTCTTCATGAAACGCGCACTGTGACTGGAAGCGATCTTTGACGTCAGCAGGTGAGTGAAATGCGAAAGAGAACGCTTCTCGTCGTCTGCTCGAGTTTTGAACTTTGAGGACTAGTAACTTTACTGTCCGTACACCAATTTCCATCATTCTTGTTGCATTCGTCTCAGTAATCATCGGTATGCGTGTTCCAGTGCTAAATAGGGCTGTTCAAAAAGTGTCGCAGGGCCCCTTCAAGAGTGCCAGTGCAAGGGACGACAAAGAGTCTTTCATCCCTCGCACTCTTTTGTGCCATCCCCGTTTCACGCAGCATCTCAACTAGCTAGTACCTGAAAATGGCGATCACGGTGACGTCAATGCAAAAGTTAGCTGGTACCTGCAGACGGCGACCAGTGACGTCAATCTATGTATTGCAAGTGATGCAATACATAGCTTGCGTTGACGTCACTGTGATCGCCATCTTCAGGCACCAGCTAGTTAAGATGCTGCGTGAACTGTTGCTCAACCACGGGAAGCAAGAAACGGTAACACTAGATTAGTGCCTGTGCCTATTCCAATTCTTTCTGTTTTCCCTTGACGCGGCTGGCGAACTGGAGGAAGCAGGGATAGCTCAAAAAAGTGCAAGGGGTGAACGACTCTCTGTCGTCCCTTTCATTGGTTCGCTTAAATTCGACAAATAGTAATGATGGCTGTTGTCTCCAGATGCCCAGCGCAGAGAACCTGTATGTAACGACACGCTCAAGTTATGTATATTGTGTATAGCTGGTAGACAAGTCACGTCTTTTTGTTGGCACTAGTGCAAAATTTTACAAAGAGATGGACTTTACTATTTCTGGTAGATTGCTGGGCTGGGCTCTCACCTAGGATTTATAGGGGACTGAAACATACTCAAATTGGTTCAACAGAACATTTCGCATACAAACTGTGCTACCAGTTTATTTATTTATTTATTTAATATACCTCAAAGGCCACCCAACAGGGGGCTTTACATGAGGGTGTGGGCAAACAATATAGAGTTAATAAAACAATGATTCTATGGCATTTTTAAATCTATCCGTGTTGCTATGATGGATGACACTTGGGGGAAGATCGTTCCAGTCCCTGGCTGCTTGAGCGAAGAAGGAGTGATGGTGGGCTGTGGTACATGCAGGAGGTGGGTACACGGCCTTGTGGTGGCTTGTGCGGGCTGAAGTACGATGAGCTGATTGAATGGGACAGTTGTAATGAAACGTATGATACATTTTGTGATACAAGGATAGTCTGGAAACCTTACGGCGTAGGTCAAGGTTAGGTAGATCTGCTATTCTTTTAAGGGTGGTAACACTGGTATGATACGAGTAATCTGAGTAGATGAATCTAACTGCTCGGTTTTGAATTAGTTCGATGGACTTACTTAGGTTAATTTGGAATGGGTCCCAAATGGCGGATGCGTACTCTAGTTTTGGGCGAATTAGTGTTTTGTAGGCTAGTAATTTGACTGATGGAGGGGCAAGATGCAAGTTACGACGAAGGTAACCGAGAGCTCTGTTAGCATTGTTAACTATTTTACTTACGTGAAAAGACCAGTTTAGATTCTGTGAAATGTTAACACCGAGATATTTAATGGAACTTAGGGAAGAAACTATGGAGCCATTAATATTATAGTTAGTGGTGGGTAAGTTTTGGCGTCTGTGAAATGAAATAAGTGCAGTTTTATTAGTATTTAATACCATGAGCCATTAGGACATTTCTGGGATAGTTTGCTTACCGAGTGGATTACCCATTAGGAAATTTATGGGACATTTTGTGCACTGGCTATGCTACCCACCAGAATAGGTTGTATGCTGAATTGCTGTATATTACGTTTTACTTTTATGTGAAGATAATGCTAGAGCGTGGTTGTGTACTAATAGTATAGAAACGTGTCAGTGGCGATGCAGACGATACCCATGCAGGGTACGTGGCTGCGCCATCCGCTGAAGCTAGCACAAAAACCAGTTTCTGAAATACTTTATTTTGGTGCCCCGGCCAGGAAAGCCAACAAAAATATCCTCCAAATGATGAGGAGAATGAGGCACTCAGTAGTCTTGATTTGTCAGAATAATCAGTGTACTTCCAGTGATCCTTAAAAAAAAAGTAAGCTTTTTTGAGGCCAGTAGTTAAAGAGATTCTATATACTTCACTAGCACAGCATGAAGCCACTCTTATTATCAGTGCAGACAGTGTTTCAGAAAATTGGGGAAACAACTCTTTCTGCAGTATATGTGCCTTACACGGCAAAATTCGAGCAGATGAAATCACCATGTGGCTCCTAATATATAGGACAAAAGTTTGGGCAAATGCATCATAGACCATGCTGTGTAGCTTCACAGTAATTGACACACTATCAAGCAGTCACGGAATTCTTCAAAAGAGTGCTATAAAAACTTGCATTTTGTAGTTCGATTTTGCTAAAAAAAAATCCGCAATAAAGGTTCTCGGTTTTTCTAATTCCGGATGCCTCTGGACTCTTCGCTAATGGCAAACCATCAATATTCAAACAGGCTGAGCTCGTTAGGCAAACGTGCACATTCCAGCAGTTTGCCGTAGTCCTAAAATGACAAAACTTTCCTCCGACCAGCTCTCTGACCTTAAGGGCCCTACCTGGAGTTTGCAAGAGTATCCTAGCAAATGATGGTAGCGACAGGAAACAAAACTGGCTCCATAAAACTGACAGCAGTGTCGTGACTGCGGCGTGCGAGCACCACGATTCTACCACTCACACTTGTAATACTCGCCAGCACACTGTTTCGTCATCGGGAGACACAATGCCTCAACTTTGACGGTCATAATCTGCACATGACTGCAAAGTTGGCGCCGATCATGCTGCAACGAAAAGGCTGGTAGCGCCAAGTTCACGTCGTCGTCGTCGCGCAAGCCACCGCTGATTGGACCACTTACTAGATCTGCAACAGTGATGCACCACATGTGCATTTATTAACAAGACCGGCCGAATCGCCACTAAACTCGGGATTATGCGCCATCTGCTCATTGTGCTGAGTCGCTTAACCTTGAAGTAGGGTGCAACCAGTAGATATTGTGTCGAGCAGAGAACATTACATGTTTGTAGTACACTCGGTCGGACTTTGAGCACTACATGCCGGCTCTGCGAGGTCATTGTTCATGTTCACAGCTGAACACAGGCATCGCCGCGGCAAAATAGTCATTGATTGCTTTCTACCGTCACGAATACACAAAACAAGTGCAACGATCTCAAGAAACTGGATGCAACTCACAAATGTTTATGCCTGGGCGCGTCTTCCCACGTGCAGCCACTCCGCATGCCGCCATTGAAGTTCAGAAGCAGAAAGGAAGCGGAAGACACGTGTGGAGACTGCTACAGCCACTAGTGGTCCACTTTTTTTTTTTTTGTCCAAACTAAAACCCCTTGATCTTGGAAAAGTAATGACACTCTCTACCATGCGCGTGTTTCCTCCTTGATTCTCCTTGCCCACTTGCCGTACGCGCGGCGCCATTTTTCGCCGACGATCCCGTGGGCGCGCAGCAGAATTCAATGGAGGCGAGTTATTTGAGGCAGCTTGCGCGCCAGAGTAGTGCTGAAATTTTTTGAAATGGTGATAACAAAATTACAAACACTGAGACTACTGTTTATTGAAGGATTAGCTTCTTTCAAAAGTTGTATAAGTGGGGCATGCTAATAAATAAAAGTTTTTATGGGGCGTCCTACGATGCAGTGTTTTTCTGCCGCATGATAACATGCTGTACGTTTGCATCTCATGTAGTTACGCTTTTGGCATGTCCGTCTGTGTTCGGACTTTTTTTTTTCGTGCTTGTGCGCCAGTATAGGACACAAGTAGTTATAGCGTCACATATTGCAATGACTTCGTGGATGGTGGATCGTTTAGCCACGTGTTCATCTTCTTGGCATGAAAGTATCTTTGCGTAGTGGTCTCCAAACTGAAGAAGGCCTTTTAGCTATGTCAATACGATTAAGTGTCGCCAACAGTGACTCATCTACCACAATAACAGAAGCATAAGAAAATGATTAATTACAACTGCGCTTTGACGTTCTTGTCAAAGAAACTATCGAATGGATTACTTGTGAGAGGAGATACTCTGCTCCAGGAATACCATCATAATCTGCACGTCGATAGCGACCAAAAAATCCTATCCGGACTGACTGATGCCGGTCAGAAGTACCCATGTGACACTGGTATAAACGATAATATAGTTTTTTAGTGGAAAATGGAAGACATGCTAATGCTGCAGGCATGGCCAAAACTATTGCGGCCATAGTCTCCTAGAAAATAGCTCACTTGCTATCACCGTGCTATAGCTTTTTTTTTTGCATTGCACCTCTGTATTTTTTTTTTCCTTTAGATGGACCGCATCTCTTTCATAATTTTTGTGTGTTAATTCTCCCCCCCCCCCCCAAAGAAACAAATAATAAAAAAGATACCCTTATGGAAACGAGCGCCAATTAGTGTCATCTCCACTCATCCATTCATTTGTTTTCTCTTACAAATGTTTTCGTAAACGAATCCTTAATCACAAAAAGCGTGATCGAGAAGCTGTGTCATTCCACCTAATTGTTCGCAGCGAAAGCAGACTGCAGTTGGGCATTTTCGACGATTGCCGAGGTGGGTGCGAGATGATGAAGTACGAGCTGAATATTCGTATTCATTTTACTTATTTATTTAAACATACTGCAGACCGGCGTTTTGGTCCAGGCAAGAATACCCTGCACATGCAATAGCCAAGAAGCAAGTTCTTGGCATGGGAGCCAAGCATTTTGGCCAGTGCAATTTCTGGCTCATTTATTTTAGTTGTCTGTCTTGGTTACAATTTGATGCCCTGGCTACTTTTTTTTCAGATTTTTCATGTGCCCCCCCCCCCTTCCCCCCCACGATAAGTAACAAGACAAATATTTTTAGTGCTTCATGTTTATTTTACACGTAATAGTATAGAAGGCAATATGCCATTTTTCCGTTTTGCGAACTCTTGTGATTCTGAAATGTTGCTTGGGCTTCTCTTGAAGTCATCGATCATAGCGGCATGCCTTCTCACATAGGAGCACCTTCTTGATCTGAAGCAAACACAAGTTATCCTTTTGTTTGTTCGAAACAGCTGGGCCAGTTTTGTTGAACAGGGTATGTCTTATCTGGAAAATGGGAGAAAATGAACATCATGGGGTCCTCTTCTTCAATAAGCCATCTCTTAAACAACTGCTTTCACCAATTTTCACCAAAACACACAGTAAGAACATTTGTTGCGAAACTAATTGGTTATGCATGATTATGAGGATGACGGCACCTGCATTGACGGGACTACTTGTTGGACTCGATGATGCATTTGTATTACTAAAGTAGTGTGCAGTCATGAGAGATCCCCACCAATAAAAAAAAATGAAGACAAATAATAAAAAAAATATTTATATTCTCGCACATTCTGGAACATATATTCTCTCAATTAAGAAAAAAAAGTAATTTTCTTACTGATAGCATTCTGGAAGCAGCATTGGCGCAGAAGCACTGTTTAGTGTCCTTGTTTTTTTTTTTTGTATGTACATACCTTTATATTTATAAACATTACTGAAGTAGTCAATGCACCTTTATTTACAAAGGTTATTTTTGTTGTGTAGCTTCTGTTGCCAATGCTTTATTTTATTTTAATGCTCATTATTGAGCAGTCTTGCCGCTTAGTCTTGCAGCTGACTGTTTAAACGATGAAATCGGTCATGTGCTCTGGCTCCCAGCTCCCACAACTTGGCAAGTTGATAGCATGACGGTAGTTATAGCGCGTAAACAAAACGACGACACAGAGACGAGAAGGACACGAAAGACACTTGTCTTGTCTCTGTGTCATTGTTTTGTTTTCGTGCTATAACTATCGTCATGCCATACCAACAGCCCAAGCTGCCACACTGCAAGTTGATAGAACAGGAAATAAGATTATACAACATTTAAGCGGTGAATACGGCGGCAGTGAAACTGTTTCAATGCTCAATCTTGCTCTAGATGGCAGAAGTTGGCTTTTTTCAGGAGGGAAGCATATATAAACTGAAAAAATGAAAATTGTATTAGTAGGTCAAGTTTTCAAACAAACATCAGTGATGCAGTATGTGCAATATTCTGGTCCTATTGAAGCATTTTCTAAAGAACAGCAACCAAAATATCACAGCATCGAGAAGTCTACATAACAAAAAGTCATAAGGATGTTGCCAATAAAAGGCAAAGCAAAACCAATTTATTTGTTTTCTGTTAGTGCTCACCAAGTAGAAACATTAGCACATTTGCAGGGTTTTCAATGGGAAATTGTTCTTAGTGGCCCAGCAGTACTTCTTTGGAGCCACATTAGTACAATATGATGGAGCTTTCTGTGCACAGCGTATTCAGCACTGCTGGCATTTTCTAGGAACAAATAGCTGACCTGTAAAAAAAAGAGCAATACATAAATTAGAAAGCTGATAAATGTAACACATGTTTAGAAGCTTTGAAAACGTCTCTACTATATGCAGTGGTTGTGGTGCCAACAGAAGGATAATCTTGCTGTAACGAAACAGCACCAACTCTTCAAAATATTCATTGCACATTCTACGAAGTACTTGTAGAACTGGAAAAAGTGTGCCTTCATTGTAGAAAATTGTGATTGAAATTCACAAAACTCTGCAAGTATTTAGGCCCGATTATTTTGTGTAAACATCATTTTTTGGTGTATATTTCATAAAGTTGCTGTTGGACAACTGGAAGAATCATGTGTTCTTGTGTAATTTATAAATAGTCTGGCAAGTGGCACTCACTCCATGCCAGGAAATAAAAGAGATATTATGAAGTCTTGGTAGTCTTGGTTGCGACAGCGTTTAATTGAGGAAAGACCTCGCAAAACGAACGGGCAGAGCCAGTACACAGACGACGATGACCCAGAGTGGCAATGAGGACAAAGAGACAAGCGGATGATGGTGATTGTGATAATGCAGGGATGAGGACATTGTAAGTAACAAATGCCCACACTAATTCCCCCCACTTGGAAGCGGACACCCTGGCCGCCGTAAGTCAAAGTGACGGGGAACGTCGCGTGAAAGGTTTCATGCGACAAACGTGGACAATCTCTGTGCTGCGGTAGCGGCGGTCTGTTGGGCGACGATTGGTGTCACACGATAATTAACCGGTGAAGTGTGTTTTAAAACAATGTATGGCCCGACAAAGCGTGGTTGGAATTTGTCACAGAGACCAGGAGTGCGAATAGGTGTCAAGAGCAGCACCTCGTCACCAGGTTGGAAAGACACAACACGGTGGGATTCGTCATAGATGATCTTCCGCTCGTGCTGTCTCGCTTCAGTATTGATGCGAGCCTGATGGCGAGACTGGGCCAGGCGGGAAATGTATTCTTCGCTAGAAGACTGACATGAATTCCTATGGCTGCTAAAGAAGGAGACGTCGAGAAAGGTAGTCGGGGTGCGTCCATACACGAGGTAAAACGGTGAGTAGCAAGTTGTTCGCTGAACGGCGGTGTTGTAAGCGAATGTCAGGAATGGTAAAAAAGTATTCCAGTTTTTGTGGTCGGGTTGGACGTAAACGGCTATCATGTCTGCAAGGGTTCGGTGAAATCTTTCTGTGAGACCATTTATTTGAGGGTGGTAGCTTGAAGCTGTCTTGGGAGTAGTTCCAGAAACGCGCAGTACTTCATTTACCATTTCTGACAGGAACACATTGCCGTCATCACTAAGCAGTACACGAGGAGCCCCATGACGCAGGATTATGGCGTGAAGAATAAAGTCTGCAACTTCCACAGCTGAGCCTGTAATAACAGGACGTCTCAGCGTAGCGTGTCAGGTGGTCCACGGCGGTCACTATCCATCATTTGCCAGCAGATGTGACGGGGAGAGGCCCTTAAAGGTCAACACCTACAACCTCGAAAGGCATTGAAGGGCACGGAAGTGGCTGTAGAGGTCCAGCAGGTGCAGATGTGGGGAGTTTACGACGCTGGCATGGGTAGCAGGAACCAACGTACCACGCTACACTAGAAGAAAGGCCAGGCAAGTAATAACGACATCGAATGCAGTCAAGAGTTTTTTTTAAACCAAGATGACCAGCAGTCAAGTCGTCGTGGAAGGCTTTGAGCACCTGAAGTCGAAGAGAGCGTGGCAGTACAGGAACCCAGCGCTGACCGTCAGGGTGGTAGACGTGGCGGTGGAGAACCCCATTGTCCAGCTTAAAGAGCAGGAGTTGACGACGGAATCGCGCGTTTGCTGGATGAGAAACTCCCAAAAGGTGGTCCATCATGCGTCTGCAGTATCAATCGGACCGCTGGTGGGAGATAAATGTTGGCTCGTCGTCCGAAAAGGGTTGCGTTATTGATGCGAGCGTATGAACTTCGGTAGATGTGGCGGTTGAGTTCTCACCAACGCTGATATGAGTAGTTGGAAGCGGGCAACGAGATAAAGCATCGGCGTCTTAATGTTTTCTGCCTGACTTGTAAGTTATGTCAAAGTCGTACTCCTGCAAGCGTAGTATCCACCGACCCAAGCGTCCGGACAAGTTCTTCAGTGTAGAAAGCCAGTATAAGGCATGGTGGTCCGTAACGATTGTGAAGTGACGGCCGTGGAGATAGGGACGAAACTTCTGGACCGACCAAACAACAGCCAAACACTCTTGCTCAGTTATAGTGTAGTTCTTTTCAGCAGGGTGAGTAGGCAACTGGCATATGCAACAACTTTCTCTAGGGAAGACTTGTCGCGTTGTAGAAGAACGGCTCCTATACCAAGGCCGCTAGCGTGGGTATGAAGGATAGTCGGTGCGGCTTCGTTAAAGTGGCAGAGTAGAGGTTCAGACGTGAGTGCCCGCTTCAACAGCTCGAATGCTATTTGACATTCTTGAGACCACAGAAAGGGGACGTTCGAAGCGAGTAGTTGGTGTAATGAAGCAGCAATAGAAGCGAAGTTCTGGATAAACCGGCGAAAATAGGAGGTGAGGCCAAGGAAACTGCGAAACTCCTTTGGTTTTTCGGGACGCGGAAAGTGAAGGACTGCAGAAACCTTCTCAGGGTCGGGCCGGACGCCATCTTTGCTAACGACATGTCTCAAGACCTTGATAGATTTACTAGCAAAAGAGCATTTCTTAGTGTTTATTTGAAGTCCGGCGCCGGCAAGGCACGTCAGAACTTGATCCAGTCGTTCTAGGTGCTCAGAAAACGTTGACGAAAAGATAATAATGTCGTCCAGGTAGCAAAGGCAACTTTTCCATTTCAGGCCACGCAGCACGGTATCTATCATGCGCTCAAAAGTCGCGGGTGTGTTGCAGAGCCCGAAAGGCATCACGTTGAATTCATATAGCCCGTCGGGGGTCGCAAACGCCGTTTTCTCCTTATCGTCTTCATGCACGGGGATCTGCCAGTACCCAGAACGCAAGTCGATGCTTGAAAAGAATTCCGCACCTTGTAGAGAATCAAAGGCGTCGTCAATGCGTGGCATAGGGTACACGTCCTTGCATGTGATCTTATTGAGCGCCCGGTAGTCCACGCAAAAACGCACAGAGCCATCCTTTTTGCGAACCAAAACAACAAGAGACGACCAAGGGCTAGATGAGGGACGGATGACTTCCCGTTTAAGCATGTCCGCAACGTTTTCTTCTATAATTTTTCTTTCAGCTAGAGACACGCGGTAGGGTCGGCGGTGTACGATAGATGTCCCAACAGTTTGAATTCGATGTGCTATATTATTAGTGCGGCCCAGCTTAGGCGAGCAAAAATTGAAAGAATTTGCATGTTTCTGTAACAGTGCGAGCAGCTGCTGCCTCTGTGAATATGTCAATTCGCTGCTGATAGCGGTGGTAAAGGCAGAGGAAGAAACATGCTCACCGACGGAAGGTTCTTTGGATGCGATGACCTGAAGTGGCATGACAAATACAAGCTCGAAGTTGGCAACACGGGCCACAGTAGTGCCCTGTGGCAGTAAGATCTTCTCCGGTGTAGAGTTGACAGCGGTGACAAGTGCAGAGCCATTGCAAAAACGAACGACACCGGACGGAAGAACTATACCTTTACGAACCCAAAGTGGTGAAGGTGAGACCAATACATCACCGTGATAGATGTCATTAGACGTAATGCTGACAATTTGCTTTTGCAGTGGAGGCAGTTCGATGTCTTTCATTGCGACCAGACGAAGTGGCTTCTGATTGTTGTCGTCAAGCATGTAGTCGGTGTCAGCGAGGTGAACGACGCGTTGTCCACAACAAATCGCCGCGGAAGCAGACGATAGAAAATCCCACCCTAAAATTAGTTGGTGAGAGCAGCGGGACAGGACAGCAAACTGGACATGATGGCGAATGCCGTCGATGAAAACACGCACAGCACAAAACGCGGAAGGGCGAATAACGTTCCCCTGGGCAGCAATTAACGTGGGGCCATCGTAAGGTCTCATTACTTTCCTTAAATGTTCACACAAATCAGCACGTATCACAGACAATGTCGCACCTGTGTACACCAAAGCATCGACTCCCACTCCTTCCACTTCCACAGAAAGCGTGTTACACGGGCCTGATGGAGGAATTTCAGTTCTAATTCCGAATGCAGTTTTTCCTCCACAAACTGCATAACTTAGTTTCCCGAATGAATATCAGATGAGAATGAGGCGGGCCGAAGTGGAGAAGTGGAATGGCGAAAGGGCGAAGGCGAGCGGCGTCTCGTGTTTTGGTTGTTTCGTGGTGCAGTCGATGCCGGAGGAGATGGAGACCGGTGCGGGGGAGACGAATAACGCCGACCTTGATAAGACGCCCCAGTGTACGAATCCCATTCGCGCACGTCGTTCCGACGCTCATCTTGCTGGCGCTTTCGGCAGAAACGAGATATGTGGCCGCGATAGCCACAGTAGTAGCATACAGGGCAAGACGAGCGCCATGGTGGGGAATAGAAGGCATTCGGGGCACCTGGAGATAGCGCGGTCAGGTGGGCCGGAGGGTCAGGGAGCACGGAATAGTAGTTTACCGGGGGGGAGCGGTAGCAACTGATGCGTAGGATGGGCGCAGCAATGTCGCGTGGAAGTCGCTGGGAGGCACGGCAGCAACTTCAGGGTACGTGGGTAAGGGGCGTGAAGCAGGTGGCTGTACGGGCGCAAAGCCAGTCAGCGATGTAAGTTCCTCCCTGACGATGTCACGCAAGGGCACTCCCAAAGACTGTGTAGGACGCGGTGTAGGAGGTGTGAAGCCCATAGACCGCAATTCTTCACGTATAATGTCCCGGATGAGGTCACGCAGGTGGCCATGAGACGTAGAGTGGTGGTCGTCAATGTCCGGTTGGAGGCGAACAGAGTCCAGCGTATCAAGGTGCTGGCATGTCGTCACGACATCAGCGATGGTAGCTGGGTTTTGCACAGCAAGTGCATCAAAGGCAACAGGCCCAATGCCTTTCAATATGTGGCGCACTTTGTCCGATTTCGGCATGGATTGATTGACACGCCCGCACAGTGCGAGGACATCCTCGATGTATGAAGTGTACGATTCACCGGGATGTTGTTGGCGAGTAATCAAGTGTACTCTTCGCGACGGCGGATCGAATGTCCGGGGTCCCAAAAATGTGTCGCAGCTGCTGCTGGAAGGTAGCCCAGTCGGGTAAGTCAGTGACGTGGTTAAAATACCATGTCCTTGCGATTCCGGTCAGATAAAAAGGGTCGTAACGCAGTTTGGCGGCCTCGTCCCACCGATTAGCGAGACTTACGCGGTCGTAGTCGTCGAGCCAGTCTTCTACGTCTTCTCCACGAAGACCAGCGAAGAGCGGGGGTTCCCGCTGATGTCCGTGTATGTAAAAAGGAGGGGCAGCTTGCGTCGGTGCGTGGTTGATGACATCAGTGC